TAAATGAATACTAAACGAACTTTAAACAAACATGTTCACAAACGTTGAAAGAACGGACAAGAATATATTCAAAAATAAATAAATAAAAACGAGCACAATATTAAAATTTTAAACAAACACAAACCAAACATAAATACTTTTAAAAATAAAAAAACAAATACAAACAAAACTTTACTCATTCAAATTCGATTTATTTACACCGTTATTATTTTATCAGCTGTAATATGGGATCATCTTTTGATCATGCAATACAATTCAACGTTTTTCTCTAAAAAAAAGTTCTTCAAATTATTGGTCTCAAAATTTAAACCGTTATTTCCATCTGCCATGCTGAGTTGTAACCATCATCCACGTGGTAGGACAAAAACTCATATCATAAGGTGACGTCACTTGTTTTGACTAAGCCGCCGTGCTTAAATTGACCCATGTGTTCATTTAACCTTAAATAAGAATTAATAACATAGTGACATGTCAGCTTGCTTTGCCACTTGTCAATCTGTTTTTACGATGTCGTTTAAACCTCTCTTCCTTTATCTGTGGTATAAAAAGCAGCCAAATCTTCTACTCTTCTCTGTATATAAAAAAAACAGAGCAATAACAACCTTCTCCAAAACCTCAATGGATTCTTTCTTTTTGAACCACGTCTCTCTTCCGTTCAACGAAAACGACTCCGAAGAGATGCTTTTGTACGGCTTGCTCTCCGACCAGAAACTCCATCCGAACCGACTATCTGGACGGACAGCGCGGTTAGTTTGATGAAAGAAAAGTGCTACCGAGGCGTAAGACTGCGGCCGTGGGGTAAGTTTGTGGCTTGGAACATTCGACAGCGCGGAGGCGGCCGCTTTGGCATATGATCAAGAGGCTTTTGCGATGAGAGGCTCCGCCGCGATACTGAACTTTCCGGTGGAGAGAGTGAGGGAATCACTGAAGGAAATGAAGAGGTGCATCAAGGAAGAGGAAGGGTGTTCGCCGGTGGTGGCTTTAAAGAGGAGACATTCCATGAGGACGAAAATGATAAGCAGAAGCAAGAAAGAAAGAGAAGTGGTGGTGTTTGTGGATTTAGGTGCAGAGTACTTGGAACAACTTTTGATGAACACTACTTCTCATCATTCTGCTACACCTTACTGAATCATTTATCTGAATGAAAGATTTAAATAGTTTGTTATCGTAATAGCGTTCGTTACATAAGGGTTATAGTATCGTTTGAAATCATTATTATACCTATAATTAATGGTTGTCCCTTGTTCTCATATGTAATAGAGTAGGGGGAGATAAGATAGTAGGCTGCCCCCAACACCAGGTTGAGAGCAGCTTCCGTAGAATACCTCCGAATTATGAAATGCCCCTCCGTGGGACTCGATCTCACGACCTCAATGTTAAGAACCTTATGCTCTACCAATTAAGCTGGATAGTCATCTCTACCTATAATTAATGTATCTACTATATCCATAATTACAATAAACGTAATAGCAAACTAAATACATGATTTTGATATTTAATTTTTTTATAAAACAAGATAAAAATAATTTCAAGAGATTATTTGTCTCATGCAGCCAAGACAGAGAGTTTGATGCTCCTACGCCGCTTCAAAATATATTAATTTTGATTGGATTTAGTGGCAGATCCATATTTAGTTTAAAATTTAATTTTTTAATTAATTAATTATTTTATTTATTATACATATCATAAAATTTTATTTATGCTCATTTGATGAAATCTATCATAAATAAAAGTGTTTTAAAATAAAAAAAATATTAAAATTTTGCAAAAAAAAATCTATGAATATATTTAAATGATTTAAAGTGAATTTTTTAAATAAAATTGTTCATGACGTAAAAACAATTAACAGAAAACAAAATAAATTGAATCAACTTAAAAGTCTGGTATTTTTCGTGTAAGTTGATTAAATTTGATAAAAGTAAAAAAAAATTAAAAAAATATATTTTTTTAAAAGAAAATGAGTGTAAAAGCGTCGTTAAACCTTTTGGATGCCATGGAATTAAAAATGATATTATTAATAATAAAAGAGAGTGTTGTGTTTTTAGATGCAATTTTAAATAGATACATCTATCGAAGTCTATACGTTAAAATTCATGAACGTATATTATTTTATATAAAAGATTGACAAAAGAATATTAACTACAATAGATAACTATAATTTTTGTTTTTTAAAAAAATATATGAAAACATAACTTTAAACTTTTTAAATAGAGGAATTAAATAAAAACTTTACTACCAACAACCAGTTAGTCTAGTGGCATGAGGCACTAGGTCCCTTAAGCAAGGTCAGGGGTTCGAATCCTGACGTTTGCGAATCGAGCAAACTGGGTTGGGAGGGTCGTCCTCACCTCTGCAGTATCCGATCTGAATTAGTCGGTCAATAGATCGAATACCAATGATTAATTCAAAAAAACTTTACTAAAATATATGGATCGATAACATACTTTAATTATTAAAACATATTTTAAGAATTATAATATAAGTTTTTAATATTTTGTCTCTGATAAAATTCATCAAGTGATCTTAGTGGTAAGGAGAAGATTATTTATATAGTATAAATTTTTAAAATTTATATTAAAAATTAAAAAATTTAAAGTAATGTTCACGAAAGATACAACGAGTGGAAAATTATTTCTGATAGAATTTGAGTTAAATTTAAATGGTGACTATAAATTTTAGCTAATTCACTTTCCCTTTAGGATGATTTTGTGAAAATTGACTTTACAAAATTATTTTTTTACAATACTTAAATATTTTCAGAAACTAAAAGTTTATTTTATGTTTGAATAGTTCCATTTTAAATAGTAATATACATAAATATTAAAATATTAGTATTTGATTAATAAATATTTTAGTAGTGATTTTAATATTATATTATTATATTAATATTGAATAAATTATATAATATTATTCATTATTAACATTTTAATAATAGTATTTCAAACATTATAATTATTAAACATAAATAATATACAATATCATTATTAAATATTATTTTTACAATTTGTCACTTATAAATATTAAGATAGATAATAAAATAGTAATTATTTAAAAATACTATTATTAAAATACTAATATGAATATTTCAAATATATTTAGTTTGACAATGACATTTTAAGTCTTATATCAATTTTAAAAATCTAAAACAATACTATTTGGAGTATTACTTTTAGAGTAGCATAATATTATCATATAAATATCTTAAAACTCGTAAATTATTATAATAATTATTTGGATCAATATTTATGTTATTAAAATATTAACATTTATATATTGTTTTTATTTTTCGTACAAACTTACGTACTCATGCATAGAGACGGGCGTAAGATTTATGTTTAGGACGAACTTTTAAAACTTTAGAAAGGAATAAATTTATGGTAATTTTACATTTTTTAGGAGACGGCTAACCTCACCCGCCTCTTTGGTACATCCCTACCCTACCCACACGTTCATACGTTCTAATCTTGTGAATTAAACTTGTGACTTGAATAAACTTCACTACAACAAAATAAGTTTTTAGCGACGTTTTTACGCTAAAAACTCTTATATAGAAAAAAAAGCGACGCTAAAACAAATGCAGCAAAAGATTAATATATAGGGGTGGTACTAAACAACGCCGCTAATGTTACTATTTTGTGGCGTTTGTATTTTAAAACACCACTAATGTATTGACCTATTACGGCGTTTATACAAAAACGCCGCTAATATTACCATTTTGTGGCTTTTGTATTTAAAAACGCCACTAATGTTATGATCTATTGGTGTTTGCTTAAAAAATGCCCCAAACGACGAGGCTATAGCCGTTTCTATAAAAACGCCGCTAATGTTACTATTTTGTGGGATTTGGTTAAACGTCGTTATATGTATAAAATTAGCAGCGTTCTAAAAACGCCGCCAAAAACGACATTACAAACCTATTTTGTTATAGAGTTCTCTCAAAATTTTATTTCCCTAACATAAATTTTTTTGTCTATTCCTACATAAAACGATGTATTCAACTTGAGTACTTCATTTTATTAAAATACCTCTCTTTTTTACTAACGATGGATTTAATAATATTTAATAGATTTAATCTTCAAATGAATATATATATTTTGTTAGAACAAAAATCTAATTAACATAAAATCAAGAATCCAAGATCTATCATGTAAAATCATCTACAATAATGAATTAAATGCGGAAGCATACCTGAATTAATTAATAGGTTAAATTTTTTTTAATCTTCTTTGGTTTTGATTTTCTGAGAATATAGGTTTTCTCTTACCGGAATAACTCTCTGACGAAGATAAAAGTAATGCAAGTTAACTTATTTCTTGAGGATCATTACCTCTTTATATGGAATGGATATTATTTCAATCTATTAAATATTTATAATTATGCTCTTATCAAATTATAAATACAACTTATAGTGTATATATTTTAATTCCATGACACTACATATCTGCCCACAATTATACATTTTAATCCAACATAAAAAAAAAACTTTTATTTTATTTTCTTTTCGCTACTCCAATGGATATAGTTGACAGTATTTCAAATTTCCAGAACTCTAGCATATGCATAATTGAAGCCTACCTTTTGCTTTTGTGATAACAATTTAGGGTCAATGTTGATTTTCCATATATCAATTTCATTACTTTAATAAAGACTTAAGAATATGTGTAGACATATTACTAAATTTTAATTTTAATGTATTTAAATTAGTAGACATATCACTAAATTTTAAAGTGTGTTTAGACTTAATTCTTGATGGTTGATTGAAAAGTATTTTTAAAAAATGTTATAGGAAAATATTTGAAAAATATAATTTGTTAATTTAAATATTTGGTGTCACTCTTAAAAGTTATTTAGAAGTTAGGATAGATGTTTAAATATACGTTTTGAAAGTATAATTAATTGAAGAATAAATAGGATAATTTTATAATAAAAATACTTTCAAATACTCCATATATCTTTTATTTATATCGAAAAGACAAAAAGAAAAAGAAAACACTCCCACTTTCACCTCTCTCTCTCTCTCTCCTTTTTACAGTCTCCCCAGGCTAGAAAGCCTTGCTTCTCATCTCTATAGAAAAAAACCGTGTTTCTACAAAGTAGCAGCAAAGTGTATCACAAACTTTTCCAGCAGAAAACTTCCAAATTCACCCTCCACCTGTTATCCATGGATGTCCTGTAAAAATCAATTTAAAACTAAATTAATATTGGATTTTCAAAGTAATAAATTATTTAATTAATGTGAAAATTGGCTTACTTAGAACTTGTTCGGCGGACAATCTTCTAGAAACATCTTTACACAGCATTTTTCTCAACAGATCTTTAACGCCCGGCGAAACCCACTGGAAAGCCCTAACGGGAAACCTCAAATTTCCCCTCAAAACCGCCTCGAAAATCTCTACTGCCGTTTCGCCGTCAAATGGCGGAAACCCCGCCAGCATTATGTACAAAACGACGCCGCAGCTCCATACGTCCACTTTCTCCCCGTATTCCCTCCCGGCCAGAATCTCCGGCGCCACGTAATACGGCGTCCCAACCACCCCTCTAAGCGGCTCTTTCGCAACCACATCGGCCGAACCGAAATCCGTCAAATTAACGGAATTTCTCGAATCGAAAAGGACGTTCTCCGGCTTGATATCACGGTGAACGACGCCGAGGCCGTGAATGTGGACGAGGGCGTTAACGAGTTGGGTGACGATGAGCCGGGCTCGGGCTTCTGGGAACGGCCCGTCGTTGACGATGAGATTGTAGAGGTCTTTAGAAGGCGGACAAAGATCGAGCACCATGTGGAGATGAAAATCGTCTTCATAGAGGTTGTGGAGGCGGAGTATGTTGGGGTGAGGCGAGACCAGATTGAGAATCTTAGGCTCGTTGTAAAGACACTGCGAATCAAGCGAATCGCCGGCGGAGATTCTCCGTTTATCGATTGATTTAACGGCAAACGATTCGCCGGAGATCAGAGAAACGCACCTGAAAACGACGCCGAATCTTCCACGGCCGATCTCTTCGCAAACATCGTAGCTTTTCTTCAACACTTCAGTCATGGTTTTCTTCGGTTCTATAAGTTTCCTTTTTGTACGGTATAAATAGACGGTTCAAGGAATTTTTGGGGAATATTCGAATCACCGAATAGAAGAAGGCCACATGGGCTGGGGGTTTGTAGAAGACTAGAAGTTGGGAGGTTTAAATTACGAGAATATCCTTATTTAGTTGTACGGTGGGATCTCCGTACACCTAGTGTCCTTGGGACCGGCTGGGCAGTTGGATTATATAGTTAGGAGTTAGGATTTAGGGATGGAATTTTTGGAAAAAGAATCCACTCCAATCATAATACGCTTCCAGATTTGCCCTAAACCTTTGTCTTAATTACCGTCTTCTGCCCCTTACTAGAATACAATAACAATTAATTAACATTAAATAATTTACAAGGTTTATTTTGTAACTTGCCAATTTTTGTTCCTCTATGGTGTCGAGCTCATAAAGATATTTTTAGTTTTCAAATCATTAAGGACTATTTTAACTTTGAAATGGGTTATTAAAAAAAACATTGTGAGAAAAATGTTTATCAAGTGTGCTTTGTTTAAGATTTAAGTATTTAATGTTATTATTAAAATACATTTTAAGAAGATACTTAATTATTTTATATGTGATGTTAGTGTTAAATCTTGATATAAACATCCTTTAGATATAAGCTTCTTAATCAACCATAGTAAATGAGTTGAGTTTAATTCAATTCCAAAAGTGTAAAATTGAACTCGACTCGACTCGAAAATTCAGAATCTTAAACTTATCAAGTTCGACTTGAACTCTAAATAAAAAATTGAAGCTCGACTTGACTTGAAAGTCGTGAGATTAAAATTTTCAAGCTCGACTCGAAATCGAAAATTGAAGCTTGATCCGGGCTCGAAAAAACTTGAACTCAAAATATTCTCAGACTTAGCTCGATTGAAGGTCAAATTCGAGCTCGAACTTGAATATTAAGTACGTGAAAGCTTTATATTGTATTTAAAAGAAACAACAACATATAAATGTTACATTATTAATAATCTAATTTTAAAAAATCTAAACATTTAATATATTATTTTTTCGAGTTGATCACGAGCTTTTCGAGTCAGACATCAAGTAGCTCACTTCGGCTCCTTAAGATTTCGACTCGATTTCTAGCTTAAGTTGAGTTAATTCGATTTGAGAGTTGATCGAGCTTTGACCGAGTCAATCTCTAGTAGCTCATGATTTATCTCGTTTCATTTACAGCTCCAACTACAATATATAGACAAGACCTCTAACATGTCCATATGACTTACCATAACGTAATTCAAAGTCTCACAATCAAATTTGTGTAGCCCGTTAATCTATAAATAACCATAATGACCTTAAGTGTGTCACACACACTAAAGGTCACTATAAATATCCCAATTAAGACCGAAAAAGAGGTTGAATTCTTGAATATACAGACCATATCTCCTTACTAATGATCACCTCTCCCACACACAAAATCGATCAATTGTTGTTCGTTCACCGGTTGCGACTTTTCGTTGAAATCAAAAGGAATTAACTGTTAGCAGACGACAAGAAAAACTTGTTTACATAAACACTAGCCGCTTGAGAGGACAAAACACTAGGCAAACTAGCAGTAAGCTGAGTTACCTAGAGTCATTTGGTCTTGTAGGAAGAACCATGAGTAACCCTAAAATTAAAGCAATTAATAAGAAGAACAATAAATTCCTTTTTAGAATATGAACTGATATAAAATTATCGACTTCATCAGAAGGTGTGACTATCAATTACATTTCCAATATTTTCCTTTGAAAAATTCTTGGTATTTTCGCCACATATGTTTAGGTATGGTACCTTGGAGTAATGAAAAGTCAAGCTACTGCATGCAAAACACTTGTCTCACATAAGGATGAAAATGACTTCACAACTAATGAGTTACACAATAATTTCATTCAATAAAAATCCAATCCCATTTTACCTAAAAGTAAAACATGGGTCCAATTCAGTTTTTTTTTTCTTAAAAAAACCAAATTGCTGTATGATTCGGATTTTTATTAGTCCTTATTGGGATTTGGCTGGACTTCCATACCTCTCAAGTGGGCACATTAATTTGGATACAATTTTCTTTTAACATTATAACTTTATGTATACATATAACATCTTTTTGGTGTTTATTTAGGGAATTGACACCCCTAGTCAATTATTTATAGCAATGACATCATTTAATAAATTCTACTCGTTGTCAGATAATCTTTTAAATCTCTGCTCAATGAAGGATTCAATAATATTGTAGGTCCATTGTCACCCTTATTCCATTTCTTTTCATTTTCAATAAGAAGAAACTCATGTTCGTATACCTTGAAGATGCAAAAAAAAATTATACGTGTCATCCATATTTTTTTTAAATCAATTTGGACGTAAGAACATGCAATTATGATTACGAGGGCTTGGATATTTGACTACTTAAAAGAACTCACGATCACACCATGCTTCTTGCAAAATCACTCCTACGAATATGTTATAAGACCTTCGAAGATGACAACATCTTTGTAACATAAAAGCTATAATTCTATGATAATTGACACCAATATGTCAAACACAAAATCAGTGGTGGACTATGGAAGTTTTCGTATTTTTTATCTTCTCAAATGGTCGATCACTGTTTTAATCTCAACTCTCCGATAAGATATTAGATATATGTTGTCTTCTTTAACAACTTGCATATGCAATTTAAAAAAAAAAATTCCTAAGGGCTAAGAGTCATCATCTTCCTTTCTCAACTATGACATGCAATCAACAACAAAAAAATCAATAATTGTATTGTACAATTAACACTTGATACTCGATTGAGATGATCCAACTCAAATATCATATGTTATATTAGTCACCAAAGTGATCCAATGATAATTTTTTTATTTAAGAGATTTCTTTAAACATGGTTAAACAAAATTTTTATTAAAACATACATCATGAACATACAATGAAAACACATATTACATTATCATTCGAGTACAAACTAGGAACGTGCGAAATTTAATGCGAAACAACTAACATAGTTAGGGGTATTTACATTTTTCATGACTTCAAACTTTAGGGATCAACTCTTTTAAGGAGGGATTGATCTTTTTCATTCCAGTAACAAAGTAAACGATATTTTTTTAATAAAAAAAAAGTTGCAGAAATCAGTTTAAACATGCAATTTTGAGCTAACAATTCAACAACTAACTATTTATATATCTGATAAACATACATAAACCACCATAGGCATGCCAAAAATATATTGAATTGCATAGTTTCTTTGAAAAATTATAAGTGCTTATGTTGAAACATGTTTTCTAATTTTTAGAGAATTTCCTTGCTCTTGTTACTAATGAAATAAAATTGTTAGCAAAACTGGACAAGATTTAAATGCAAGTATTCTTTGAAAATTAAGTGTTTTTCAATTTTAATTTTCGATTAGAAAAGTCTGACAAAAATATAGACTTCAAAATGCTTTTTACTAACGTTCTTAAAAAAATCTACTTTTAGTTATTGACTAAAATTCTCATACAAAATAAAAATGGGTGAACTACACATTTAATACCTCAACTATCGTTTTTATTCTATTTTGGTTACTCATGTATTTTTTTAAATCATATTTAACTTTACGTTTTGGTTTCATTTTGGTCACTCTCTGTTAAAAAATTAATAGAACTAATAAAGTGACATTTTTAAAAAAATCAATGATGAGATAGCATTACCTTATGATGACACGTCAATATCACCATTATTTTTTTAATGATAGATGATCAAAATGAAACCAAAACGTAGCGTTATGTATTATTTTTAAACAAAAAATAGTTAGTTGACTAAAACGGAATAAAAGTAATAGTTGGGGTAATGAATGTATAATTTACCCAATAAAACTATATAGCATTAAATATTTTTAAATAAAAGATATTATATACATAAATAATTTGCTGTTCGTTCCCTAAATAAACACCAAAAAGGTGTTGTGCGTATAAAAAGCCTCGGAGAAGTTAAAACATCAAATTTTAGAATTAATTTACCAAACAATAATCTTTTTAATTAGGCATAATATTAAAATTATCTCAAACATTTATTAAAATGGTTATTTTGTCTCCTATTCTATTTTTTGAAGTATTTTGATATTCAACGTTTTATTTTAGGGTAAAAATGCTCATAACTTTTCATTTTAGGTTAAAAATATTCATATTTTTTAACGTTAATTGTGTGTTAACTAATGATTTTTATCCATATAAACAAATTATCTCAAAATAAAACGTTAGAGTTCAAATGATTAAAAAAATATGATTTTAGTGAATTTTAGGGTTATTTTTAACGTCATGACTTTTAATTATTAAATGGAATTGCATGGATGTCACTATACATGAGATGACAATGATGTTTTTTTTGCTATCAATTGGCGTAGAGATGATAAAATATATCATGTCAACAATAATTACAAAGCAATTTTGGTTGGAGCTGATTAGGGGCAAGTGGGCAGACCACCTTTCACCATAGAAATCTGAGAGGGGAATAGTATGTACATGAGCTTTTGCTGCTCGTTTGTTGAGTGATTTTTGGTGTAAGAAAAGGGTTGTATTGTGACATTTGTGGTGCAAAATCTAGACAATGCGAGGTACAAAGAAAGCACCAAAATTAAATAAATAAATTTTGGGTTTAAGGGTAGGTGTGATGATTTCAGATACCATTCACCGAGCAGTTGAAAGAAAGGAAGAAATATAATTGATTGTGCTTTCGTCTAGTTTTATGTTAAACAAAATTTAGATTTTATAAAATAGTTAAACAAATATTAAATTGTTTACTTTTTTTATTTAAGTATTTTCATCTAATAAGAACTTTGGTTTCAAGTTTAAACAAAAAAAAACCCATTGATTTAAGTTGAATAGCTAATATAACATGGTGTTTAATTTTTTTCCATTCCACAGGATATATGCATGTTATCATTTGTTAAAAAAATTCTAAATAAATATAATCTTATAATTAATCTAAACTATTTAAAAAATTAATTAACCTATCTTAATTTTCCTTTTTCGTTTTACACACTAGTTTCACAAGAAAACACCAAAGAAATCCGGTTTTCCATATTCCTCGGAAGGAACCAAAAAATCCTCAAATTTTACAGAAAAAAATCAAAACTAGAAATGCAAAGAAAGAAAGGGTTTTTAGCTTACAGAGAAGAAGCATAGAAGTGAATAAAAGTGGGGCAGGCCCGCTTGAGAAATTGAAGCTGGAAACGAATAGGACCCGAAGAACCCTTTAATCCACGACAGAGTTTCGCCGGAGAAGACGAAGAGGAGGTGGAGGGAGTTGACAAAGCTGATGGAATTTTGAAATTGGTCCTGGCTTTCGACCCCTTCGCCGCTGCATAATTAGCAGGGGCGGATGCACTAACCCGGGGCCAAATGCATCCCTATTATTTAAGAAAAAAAGTGAAATTTAATATAATATATTAAAGAAAAATGAAAGATTTTTTTGCACCACCATTATTTTTAATAAAAAAAATTAAAATTTTAGACACCATTTATAAATTTTTAGATCAGCCACTGATCATGAGCACAGAGCACATGCATCTTCTTCCGCCGACCAGCGTGTCTAGCCAGTGCCTGCACTGCCCAACACGGTCGTGTATCTCCGCTGACCACCTCCCTCACGATCTCATTATCACTCCCCTGTAACTTTTTTGCACTGAAACCGTACTACACTGCGAGAAATAATGAAGACAAAACTAAGACCTCATTTCTTTTCCCAGAACGTTCCATAGTTGATTAATTTGCTTACATATGATGCCTCCTTCTTGATAACAGATTCCCCGCGGCCAAGTCTTATGATAATATATCAATTAAAGACAAGAAGTCAGCTCCATAAGTAATCTTTAGACTTTAGCAATGCTATTTTAAAATAACATTCAATATTTAAGTCCAGCCTTCTATGGCAAAGTCTGTGAGCAATTGTAAGTATTTACAAACATATTTCATAAAGATTTTGCTGTTTTTTTTTTCCGCAGCGAAGATTTTTTTATTTATTAATCAAATGCCAAAGTCCTACTTATAAGCCTCGTTAAAAACCTTACCAGCCAAATTAGGAAGAAAAAAGTACTAAATAAATAGAAGATCCATATAGAATCAATTACATGAAACAAGCATAACCAGAAAATATCACCATCCAAAATGACATCCCACTGTTCGAGTAGCACAACCCCCCAATTTAAACTAGAGTTGTATGCGAGATTCAGGCAGCAAAGAACCAACCACAGAACTTGGTTGCTGCAACCCTTTTAAAACTCATGAATTAACTAGGCAGCCAAACATTTCGATTCGATAAAATCATCATTGTCTGCACCCCCATTTAATATATTCCCAGACACATCTCATTAATTGCATCATTCTCTAGCAACGGTTCTTTGCTTTTTTTCATACTCAGCGGAATTTCCCGCCTATCAACATCCGATGAAGATTCATATGAGCTTTCATTTTTTAGCAAGCTTCTGCCTTGTTAATTTGCTTATTTGTTCCTTCGATCTGATTGCACAAATAGTTCCCGTTTATTTCCTTAATTCTGATCATAAAGCAATCATTCCTCACTTCCTTTTCTAGCGTTTGATCTATATTTTCTATTTGATTCGTAAATACAAGGAGAGACACCTCACAATCCACAAATTGAGTTGCATTTTCTCCCAATGCGATTAACTCCCCCCAATGTTCAGCAAATTTTTTTTTAAAGTAGTATGGTTCCAACATTGTAATGGAATCCCAATGGCTTGAATCCAGGTTATTCTCTCTGTTGGATGAAAAGACTCTGACCATGGCTCAATTTCTGAAAAACTTTGAGATATGCCCAATTTTGCTCTTTCACAACCTCTAGCAAATCCAGATCTTTGGTTTCGATCAAGAATCTCCTTCCTCCCATGCTTTTGATACGAATATCCCCAAACCCCAAGCATGTCGTCGTTCTTCCTCCACGTGACCCTTAATCCTTATTGGATTTACCTAACGTTGATTGTTGGTGTCCCTCTGTTTTGTAACAGATATTGTTTTTAATCGAGTCCCACGGAGGGCATTTCATAATTCGGAGGTCTCCTATCAACCTGGTGTTGGGGATAGCCTACTATCTTACCTCCCCTTACCCCCATTACATATGGGAACAAGGGACAACATTTTTTTAAGTTGTAATATTTCTGACAGGTTCTTTCTTCTTACTGGAGTCCACCTGCACATTTGGTTGAAATTTTCTCCAATACGAGGATCGGCCATTGAACCTGGCATATGAAACCGCTAGTCTAAATCCCTATAATCTGAATCGGTTTAATCTCTCCATCGCTCTGTCTGCATCCCTTCTATTCGAAAATCTTACAAAGCCAAAATGATTGCCATATTTGTTTAGTTTGTATGCTATAAACGAATCCACAATGTCACCTTGTCTGCCAAAAGCTTGTCGAAAACCACTCCAATTAATGAAGATATGGTGGCAGATTGCTTACAAATAGAGTGATTATTCCTCTTCCGTTGAGCCGCCATCCCCACCTTTCTTTGTTGTTAATTTCAACTACCTGACTTAATTGTTCATATGATAACTGCAGACTATTCTGCTGGAAATTTGGCGAAATTATTTGGCATTTACTTTGTACTGGAAAGTTGGCGATTCCATTGCCTGGTTGCCGGAGACTATTGCGTAATGATGTTTGGTGCTAACTTTAGTCACGGATAATATTTTGTTGTTATATCGCTATAAGAAACTTAAATTTTATATCTAATTCATGGATAACCTGCTTTTGGTTATGGGTTTATAAGCAAATAGCCGAGGACTATATGCTCGATGCAGTCAAAGTTTAATATGTCAAAGTGCAAGTTGCTTCTGTAACCATTGCCACCCCCTTCGCTCCTCCATCAGATTCAACTAAAATAGATTTGATAACTTCACCAATCCTTTTTCCAGTTTTTTCAACAAAAATCTGTTAGTAAAAAGAATGTTTTATAATAAATGCATTAGTATGTTAGAAAGCTTGGAAATAATCAAGTAAAAAGACTGCTTTAAAATAAATGCACTAGTATGCTGCTCGATTCTTGATGCGGAACTTTGGGGAGTGTTTGAAGGGCTGCAAATGGTTTGGGGTTTGGGTGTAAGAAGCGTGATTGTTGAGATGGACAGCAAGGATTCATTGGCTATTTGCTTACAGGGACCGTCGATGCACGGCTCATCTCATCTCATCTGGGTCCACACATTAGGAAGCTCTACGAAAGGGAATGGAGAATTAAGTTCCAGTACATACCTCGTGAGGGTAATACATTGGCAGATGATATAACTAGGCTAGCATGGAGGCTACCATTTGGGTGGCAAGGATTCAAACAGCCACCAGCAGAACTGCGTGAAGGAATTGAGGCTGAGGGACGTGAGGTGCTGTCTATGTAGTTTACTTAAGTTATTAGTTCTTTTCATTAAAAAAAAATACATATATAGAGTCGGATCAAGATCAGATTTGAGTTAAGAGTTTATCAGGTCGGAATTGGGACAAACAACTAACTCGTCCCTCCCCATTATCATCCATATCAAACTACAAAAGAACTTTTAAAAATAATTACATAAATATTAAACCTCCATTGTAAAACAAAATTATGTATTACAATCATTCAATACATCCCTATACACTAACTCTTTCCAAGTCAATCTTTTCACTTTCCTCCTCTTATTTTCATGTCTGGTCCTCTACCACCAAAAGTCTTCCCACTTTGAATGAAATGAAAGAATAATCTTCCTCAAAAGACTTTGCTTTTTGACTTGGCTAGTCAATGAAGTGATTTTTTCTTTAGAATTGGACAATGAAATCTCCATCACCTCCAGCATTAATGAACACGTCGTACCAAAACTCCATTGAATCATCATCAAGACTTTGACGAGCATCCACGATATGATCGATCGGAAACGAAGGAATTTGAGGCTGGTATTCGTCGGAGACCGCTTCGAAGTTTAACGGCGGAATGCTCAAACTATCCGACCAGAAACTTTCGTCGATATCCGGGAAACATTCCGATGAATCCACCATGTTTGCAGCCTTGATGTTGTCAAATTCCCTATGATCACTGGTGTCTGTAATGGAGGAAGCTTCACTTGATGATGATGGGATTTCATCACTCGATTGGCATACGATTGACGGCTCTGATTGGATCTTGGGTTTGATCTTGGGGTTCTTTTTGATGTTGTCTGGTTTGGTCTGGTATTGCTTTAGTCTCCTCTTCAAGTGAGTGTGCCATACATTTTTTATATCATTGTCTGTCCTTCCTGATAATTTCGCTGCTATGGCTGACCACCTGAAAGTTTGGAAAACCAAAATTATATAATTCATTTTTATATTATTTTATCAACACATTGAATGTTATGTATATAAAATACCATTGAATAATATAGGTCAAAGTCTACAAATGGTCCAATTGTTGAGTATCGACTATTAAAACTTACAAAATGATCATGTGATTATAGAATATTATTTTGTTGAATTCTTCAACTATTAAAAGTTACAAAATAATCACTTAACTATTCATATGTCCAATATCGTTGTTTTCTCTTAAAAATTAATGGTCGTCTGAACTAGATGTTAGTTTGTTGACCGAGATATGATAAAATATGATCTTAGAATTGTTTGAGTTATATTTTTAGACGTTAACCTGTTGATGTCCAGCTAAGACGATCGTCAATTTTTTAAAGAAAAATGATGAATTTAAAGCATATGAATAATCGATGATCATTTAGTAACTTTCAATAATTAAGAGACTTAACAAAACAATATCTTATTGTTAGAAGATTATTTTATAACTTTTAATAGCCGAACTCTTAATAAAATAACATTTTATAGTTGACTATCATTTGTGTACTTTAATAATATATACAAACAATTAATAAAGAAAGGGATGTTTCACCCACTTGCAGTATATTTAGCACTCAAAACCAGCCCACAGAATGTGAAGAAAACAACTTGTCCCTCAAAATAGACCAAAAGGAAAAAAAGCTACAACAAGGACTTGCACCATTGTATTTCTCCCAAAATTTTAAAATACAAATAAACTATAGATTAATATTCATGGGTATATAAGTTTCTGCACAATTAATAAATTAAATGATGATACATCATCATAAACTTTTAAAAATATTTTTTTTTTCAAATTTATTCTTAATAATGTGTCATCATCTAATTCATTAATGATACATAAAATTAATTTAGTAAGTGAATCGAATATTTTCCCATAAAATAATCATACATCCAGACATAAGTAAGGTTTATTTCTTCCCCATTCCCTATCTTTAAACTTGTAAAAAATAATTCTAAGAATTTGACCCCTTTATTTGTCTGATTTGAAATTTAAAGTCCAAGTGATAGCAATTTAAATGATTTTCTGTTTAATCTGAGGGATTGAGTTAATGTAATTAGAAGAAAAAGGACTAAATTTCAAAAGCTTTAAAATCAGAGGGATTAGGGAAAATTAGACCCTAGAAAATAATAATGGTCATTTTTTAGTACATACCTATTCCCTAACATTTGATGCAGTCGGATGATGGTTTCCTCTTCTTCCAAAGTGAAGTTTCCCCTCTTAATATCAGGTCTTAAATAGTTTATCCAACGTAATCTGCAACTCTTCCCGCATCTTAAAAGACCTATAATACAAGTCCAACAACAACAAAAAATTATCAGATAAACCATGAAGAATGTGTTTTATCTTTTCAAAAAAGAAAAATTTTCCCAGGAAAACCAGTTGATGAACCATAGAAATATTTACCAGCTTGCTTTGGTAAGGCTCGCCAATTATCATGGCCATGCTTTTGGATATATGAGATCAAAATCTGGTCTTCTTCAGGAGTCCATGGACCCTTTTTCAACCCCATCTTGTCACAGCAAGGAGCTCTCACCATCTTTTTTGTTAGTTCAATGAACAAAAAAGATTTTACAATCTGTATAGTTTGAAGATCAATCCCTGCAACTTCAGATTTCTTCGGCCACTCTGGGTGGGATGTTTATATGCAGGAATTGATTGGAAAGGTAAGACTTTGGGAGCATCAATATTCAAACAACTAGAGCTGGGCAATTTCCAGGAAAAAGCATTTCTTTGACATGATGTATTTTCTCTCTCACACAGCAAAATTCCAAAAAGTGTGTGTATTATTATATTAGTAAAAGTTTGAACAATTGCTTGATAGATTTCTCAATTTGTCGTGTAATGGAAGAGCACAAGTGCATTAATCAGACAAATTTTTCAGGTATTTATCCAATTAAACATGGTTATTTCTTAATTAAATAAAGATTAGGCAAACATGAGGATATGACGTATTCTTTTTTAAAAAAAAAGGAAAATGAAGCAGCCAAAGTTAGAGTGGAGCTTTGAAAATGACATTCAATACTACACGTTAAGTATCCCAATTGTCAATTTTTTTTGTTTTGGTCACCAAATTATTTTTTTATTTTAAAATAATACATAACATTATGTTTTAGTTTCATTTTGGTCACATACCGTTAAAAAATTAAAAGAACTGATGATGTTATTTTATTTATTTTTTCAATGTTGATGTAACATTGCTTTATAGTGTCACATCAACATCATTATTAATTTTTTAATGGTATGTGGCCAAAATAAAAACAAAACATAATATTATGTATGATTTTAAAAAAAAAATTGACGACCAAAATGAAATAAAAGAGATAGTTAAGATACTAAATGCGTTGTTACCCTAATAATAATAATAATAATAATATAGCATTACTATGCACATGAACTGCTGGTTAATTAATTTATGAATCAAATTGGTCAAAATGAAACCATTTTAAACAGCAAAAACGACAAACCGTTTTTTTAAAACACACGTGGTTTGAATAGTGAGAATATATTGACTGGGTACGTAGTTCAGTTCTATGAAACATAAAAGTTTTAGATTTGAGAAAATTAAGAAAATAATTTCACATGAAAGATACTTTTACATTAAAAGAAAATGACATATTTGACAACTGAAATGTTTAAGATAACTTCAATGATCTTTTTATGAGTTCTTAGTTTAATAATAATAAGAATCCCATGAAAATCTCAATAGATTACGTTCGGACTATATCATGCGTGGGCTCCCTAGATAAATGATGTATCATAATCGTTAATTGGAAAATAGTTATCTAGATATATTAATTGTAATTATAACTATAACTTTCCTTTAAAAATTGAATAGAATTTTAGAAAACAAATTTTAAGATCTTACATTCAGCCTCTGTTATGAGTTATTTCTAGGCTTTATAGGCATCACATCATGTTCATGTATATATGCTTTCTTTTTCTTTTTCTTTTTTGGAACAATTTCTACGCGAAGGAGGAGATGAGAATTTTAGTACTAATAGGTATTGAACTGACAAGTCACAGGATAGGAAAAAGAAGAGGTGTTAACCGATAATTTTTAACTATTTATTCTAGAGATTATTAACATACGTATATGGTTCTAAATATGCTAAATGACCTTCTAACCATATACAAGCACTCTAAGCACATCTCATTCATCAAAGCATCATGATTCGATCAACAAATACTTGAAGAACACATGCAGTAGCATACAAAAGTACCATAAAAACATGTAGTATTACACGAATTCACCATAGAAATAGAGCCTCGTATCACTAAAACAAATGTAGTATAACAAATTGCACAAAATGGTAATATTCGCAGAATTCAGGAAATATTACACAAAATGGTTCATCACCCTAGTGAGGCACAGACACCTATTTCTGTAATACAATTTAATTAATCACGAAACGTGGCCTTATTCGATTGATAGTTGTTTATGTCCAAATCATTCAGATCCTTTCAAAAGTAAAAAATTATTATATGAGTTAGTAACAGAAGAATACGAATAAAAATCTAACAATTTAAGCTAAATTTTAGGTTCAATGGGCGAAAGTAAATGATCAATGTCAAAGTCAACAATAAATAGTTAACGATCAATATCAATGATCAGCAAACAATAAATTAGATATCGAGTCGGTTCATGCTTTATTTCATATACAAGTATAAGTAAACAAGGTTATGTAACACCTTTAACCTGTTCGAACCCAAACACAATTTAAGGATATCACGTTGTTTTTATATAACATTTCCTACTTGAAACTGGTGAAAATTTTGCTTTTTTCAAAACTTCCAAACTTAACAATTATTATTAAATTATTTAATTACATAAATTCATAATGAATTATTTATCCAATTTGCATTCAATTTCCTGTGGTGATTAGGCAGATCTACACTATTTCGTATCACAATTAACACTACCTACTCAAAATAATAATCCCATTAATCCTTATAATATAATTTATTACTGCTCATTCATAACCACCTAACCACTTACCATATTTTCTTCTTTCTTTATTACGATTTCTCATATTATATTACTCAACGATTTTAGCACAACTCTTATCATATACTTTTATATCATCATGTATATATATAACATATGTAATATTTATAATTAAATTTATTGAAACATCTACTTAATGGTTATTGTCTACCGTCACACAACCATCCACTGATAACAATTATTATCATACTTCCATATTAGGCACATACATTATTTTTTCACACATATATACACTTTCAGATTCAATCCATTTAATTTATATGTTTCAAATCACATAACAATATTATTTAACATGTACATTTTAGTACAAAATATCGTATAATTTATTTTTTCATCTATAAATCATTTAATGTTAAATCAATTTTTCTTTTACATAAAAAACTTTATTGTGATACAATAATTAAACTTGTATTGTCTTTTCTTCTACTACTGTTCCCTTTCTCTATACCGTATCTTTTCCTGTACCATTCCTTTATTGTACCATCTCTTTTACGATATTGTATCTTTTAGTTTCATTTTATAGCCCAATGTATTTTGATTGAGAATATTAGGTACATGAGTCTCGTCGAGTGTGTGCATTATATGCACTCAAAAGTGCCAAGTAGATATATATGTACAATATAAACATGTATCATATAATCACTCCACCTCATGTGCCTAAGACTCTTTATACATTAGACTTTATTCAAATCTTATATTATTTTTTCATATATTAATATTCATAGAAAAATCATCACATTCATATTAAATCCATATCATTCCTCATATTTAATCACTCTCACATTAATTCCAATCTAATACATTAACTTTAAATAATTACCATTTTATCACCAACATTCCCAAAACTTAAGAATTGAACTTCTAACTTATACAACTTCTCATATTAATCCAATTTCAATATTTCACCATTTAATTATAAATTTTCAACTTAGCACACTAACTATCTAACTTTTGCATATTAATCCTCAAATTCTCATGAAATGTAAAAAAAGGTTCTTAACAACTTTTACCAAATTACAATTTATTCTTCCAATCCCCTATAATAAACATTTCAATTTCATCCCCAAACTATGACCTTCATTTTAAATTGACCCCCAAACTTTTTAAAAATTCCAATTTCATTCCAAACTATACGCATATACTAATCACATCCCTTGCTAGTAAAATCGTTAGGCAAAGTTATATTATGATATACTTTAAGAAAAACTAATTCTAGGTTAAACTATGGTTGAAACTAATTACATATTTGGATGAGGGGATGAAACTGAAATATTCAAAAGTTTGGGGACCAATTTAAAAAGAGGGTCATAGTTTAGGGATAAAATTAGAATGTTCAAAAGTTTAAGGACTAGTTTAGAATGAGAGTCATAGTTTGAGTCTCAAATTAAATCTTCAAAAATTTAAGGACTAATCTAAAATGAGAATTATAAGTTATATAACTTCTGTATTGAAAAGTTCTACTCTACCTGAAAACACTAATTTATATATTATTTGTATTTAATAAAATGATATGCTCAAAATTATATTTGATAATAAATCATTTTTTATATTCATTTATTAATTTGTTTTTTAAGAAGTGAGGTTAGAGGTATCATATAATTACTCCATGACACATCGATTCGACGTGAGTTGAATAATGTTTAACTCGTGCTCGTTAAAAAATTTATTGATCGACTCGACTCATTGCTCATTAAACTTGAAAAATTTTTGCTTGACTCGTACTCGTTAAAGTAAACGCATTGTTCGTTAAGCTCACTATAATTTTTACCTTATTTTTAACTATATGTAAAATCTAATAAATTAATAATTTAATATATTTCTTATTATTTGTTAGAATATTAATAAAATATTAATAATTAATAATTTATCATACTTCTTATTATTTACTAGCATATTAATAATTATTAACTAGACTTTTTTTAATGAAATAATTTTAAAGGTAATTAATAAAAAAATTATAAAATAAATTAACCAATCGCTCACGATCTTATCGAGTCGAGTTGAAATTTATTCGAATCAACTCGTTAAGGACTTGAGTAGAACTCGAATTCGAACATATTAATAATTATTAACTATACTTTTTTTAATGAAATAATTTTTAAGGTAATTAATAAAAAATTATAAAATAAATTATCGAATTACTCACGGTCTTATCAAGTCGAGTTGAAATTTATTCGAATTAACTTGTTAAGATCTTGAGTCGAACTCGAATTCGAATCGAGTCAACTTGAGTTGAATTTGAATAATTCACGAGGCTCAACTCATTAAGCATCCCTACATCTATATATTGATGAAAAATAAAATAAATTATAAAAATCTAAAATAAAATATTTTTTGAATAAATTTATTCAGAATTTAATTAGTGTAAGTATAGATAACTTAATTTTAATATACAGACAGATATATTGATTGATAAAAAACTTGGGTTGTACATAATTTGTATTCCAACATTTCACGGGTGTACTAGCGTGCTATAGATCCAACTGGGTGATGATTTGTTGACTATCTATGATGGGAATTCAAGTTCACATTTGTAGACTAATATATGATTTCGAAAGCGGTCCAAGTCAACAAAAGAGGCACTCGGGTCAGGCAGGCAGATACGATTGGTGGCGTCATCCACAAATTCCAGTTATTCAAAATAAAAGTATAAACATTAAATACTAGTTTTGTTGTACAGTAGTTTAATTTAGCGTAAAGTCATTCGATTATAGGATATTATTTTATTGAATCATTTAATAATTAAAAGTTATAAAATAGTCTTTTAGTTATAAGGAGTTGTTTTGTACTTTTGTTAAGTTTATTGACTATTAAACGTTACAAATGATCACTCGACTATTGTTTAAGTTCAAAACTCGTCCTTTTAAATTAAAAATTTAACGGTTGTCTAAGCTGGACGTTAATATATTGACTTAGATATTATAGTCGTTTGAGATTATGAGAACATATTTTATCATAACGTTCAGCTCAGACTTCCTTAATTTTTTAACGAAAAATGATGAGTTTGAAACATAATGAATAGTTGAGCGACCATTTTGTAACTTTTAATAGTTGGGTACTAAACAAAGCAATTCTCTATAGTCAGGGGACTTTTTTGTAATTTTTAATAATCGGAGGACTCGACAAAATAATATCCTATAGTTATGGGATTATTTGTATACTTTACCCTTTAGTTTAAGATGATTTTAATTTAAAATGTTTTCATGTTTAACCTATAAATGTATATAAGTTTATACTATTTCGATTGGAAAAAAAAAATTATATTGCGAAATGTTTAGGACCTGTAATAAAAAATGTTACGTAGACGATGACGCGCTGGTGAAAATCAAACCCAGTTCTCCAAGAATGGTTGGGGCGTGCTTTTGCCACTGAGCCAAAGTCCATATTTGACTTTAGGGTTATAATTCATGTTATTTGTTTTATATTATAAATAATGCCAGAAAAAATGAAAATAAAATTGATAATGAAAGGACTTAAACCTAGGTATATTAGGAAATAAAAAAGCACCTAAGCCATTGAAGAAAATCTGACTATTGAATTATAATTGAATACACTTTACATATACATAAAAAAATATAGTTAATACAAGACTTAAAATAAAAATAAAATTAATATTTTAAAACTAAATTCAATATATTTTTTCTCCACTGCATACATGAATTTTCATGGCTCTATTTCTTGCTAAAACAGCGGATATAAGGGGACCAGCTAAGAAGGCATACAAGATGCTCAATCAAAATCCTATTTGTGTACCTCGTACTCAAGTTTGTTTCTAAGATTTTAGTGGTATGGGGTGAATATAAAAATTAGGTCCTTAATAACAAATATTACAAAAGAATGAATTAAAGAATAATTAAGTGAAAATGAAAAAAAAATAATTTAAAAATATCACTTTAGCATCACTGTTAGTTTTTTAACGGTAAATAACAAAAAAAACGTAATGTTAATTATGATTTTAGAAAAAATTAAATGACCAAAACAAAAATAAAATAGTGAGTGAATTACTAAATAAATAATTTATTATTTTTAAATATATATAAATTTATAATTTTTGTCCCTGAGCCTGGTGGAGTGCCCCTTTCGCCTGTGCTAGGGACGGGCCTGCTCGTACTACTCCTGCAATCCTATTTGTAAGACAGTGTGATGCCCTTCAAATTTGGGCTTCGTAAAATACAATGTTTAATTTATCTTATTCCAATCGTAACATTTGATAAGTTCATACGACAGAAAAAAGAATTCTACCAGAAATTAAATACAACCAATGAAAGAAAATAAAAACAATTCTCGAATTCTGTTGAGGTGGTAGTCGATGAATACCACGTTGCGGAGAGAATGAAATTATGTGTAAACCATTGAGGCCATCATCAACCATGCAAGCACACGTCAAGACATTTCCACATGCATGTAAACCAAAACACTCACCCCAACCCTTCGCCACGTCATTTGGTATGCTGACTTTGTGTTACTGCATGTTAATCCCTGCACATTAGTTTTATAACCTTGTATTTTGGTATTTATGTTTTTTTCATCCTTATCTCGTTTATACTTCATGTTATCTTATTTTTTTATTATATTTTTGTTTTCTTTATGTTTACTGTTAATAAGTAAAATTTATTTAGTTACTTCTAGAGACTATTAATTATATATATTTAATTTTTAAGACAATAACGTAAACGATCAGATATTAAAAAAGTATTGTGAGTGTTAATTCTTTTTTACACTTGATCGACTCCGAATCTATTTTGTTGGTAAGGAGACTGTAATTTGTTATTTTACTTCTATTGAAACAATGAAATTTGAAGTGATTCAATCCTACCCTAAATCTCTAATAAAGATTGATGTTGACTCTCTCAAATCACAAATTTAATATTCAATCAAAAACGGACCTTTCGAAGAGAATTAACTCTCTTAATTTTAAAGACATTTCGACAGCTCAATAAGCTTTAGTCTCCATTATGCTACCCTTTTCCGACACAAACTCACCTCCAATATAATTCGAATTAAAAATTATACTACCTCGATAAAGCCATCATCACAAAAGTATAGAGACGAATAATAAATCTCAATTTGAACCCTTCTTACCAAACTTACCAGGTTTATTATTATCTTTTGAGGTTTTAAATTTAAACATCACTTATGTAAAAGTACGAGTTTCAATGTTAAATAGTTGAGAGCCTTTAAATATATATTACATTTTATGCATCTTAGATTATTGAAAGAACATGGGGTGTTTCAGATTTAAATAAATCAAATCTTTTATATCCCCAGTAAGAAAAACAAATTAATTCTACGGCTTGACAAATACCAACCTGGTTGAAAAAGCTGTAGAGATATTATATGTTCAAAGATAACACTCAACTAAAGTTCAATAAAAATTATTTAAATCCAACTCCAAGGCCTTGTAACTAACTCAACCAAAGCCAGGTAAGCTCAACTAATCTAGTTGGCAATCCAACTAATCACATACGCTAATAGGTGCAAGGTAATATATGTTCAAATATAATTCCTCAGTGTTCTTGATGCTCCAACTCAATACCTCAAGGAATAACAACAATTCGCTTATAACCGAGGTCGTTTAGTTCGTGCAAAGGCCTAACATACTTGAGTCTATTTTAAAAGATAATTTTTTATATTAATATATCATATAAATCAAAATAATATGTATTATCACTGCATTAAAGTACTTGTTGGTTTTATCACTGCATTAAAACACTAGTTGGTTTGAGGTAAAATTGAATAGATTTACATATTTTCTTCTCCAGGTTCCGAAATCACGTCCAGATACACAACATTGAAATTTGTTGAGTTCATAGGGGTCCCATGAACACCACGTAGCATTAGCAAAAAAATAATAATAATAAACTGTTGCGGTAAAGACAAAATTACATGCAAAAAACACCAAACTCGGTTACATGAAACGATTAGCCACGTCTCAAACCCAAATCCACTTTTTACCACTATAAATACCACGTTGGAGTTGAACCCCATTCATCACTGAAACAACTATCTATTTCACTGCGCTAATGGCTTTACTCTCTTTTAGCATTTGCTTTCTTGTGTTCTTCCATGGCTGCTTTGCTCATATAGATATGGTCACTAACCACCAACAGCAGCAACAACGCCGCTTGAGTCGGCAATCTGAATGCCAACTCCAGAACTTGAATGCTCTTCAGCCTAAGCACCGGTTCAGGTCAGAGGCTGGTGAGACCGAGTTCTGGGACCAAAACGAGCAACAGTTCCAGTGTGCTGGTGTTGCCTTCCTCCGCCACAAAATCCAACGCCGAGGGCTTCTATTGCCTTCATTTACCAATGCTCCTATGCTTATGTATATCGTACAAGGTCTAATACCTATCCTATACTTTGCTTCTCTCTCTGCAACTGTGCTCATGTTGCTGACATTGTTGTTAATTTATGCTTACAGGGGAGGGTATTCAAGGCGCCGTCTTCCCAGGTTGTGCCGAGACATTCCAGTCACCGTCACAAGAACATAGACAACAAAGATCCTCCCCTGATCAGCACCAGAAGATCAGACGGTTCAAAGAAGGTGATGTTATTGCCTTGCCTGCTGGTATATCTAACTGGATTTACAACAACGGACAGTCTCAGCTTGTCTTGGTCGCACTTGTTGATGTTGCCAACAGTCACAACCAGCTCGACGTAAACTTCAGGGTGAGGATTGAGACAATGCTAGGGTGTTTACTATTTAATTTTAACTGAATCAATCATTAACTAATTATAAAAACTGTTCTCTTCTGTTTGATTTTTGGGTTGAATAGAAATTCTTCTTGGCTGGTAACCCACAAGAAGGACTGGTAAGAGGAGGCCAAAGGCAAGACCGAAGCCAATGGCAAAGCAAAAGCTACAGACGGCAGCACGAAGAGGAGCAGGAGGAGGAGGAGGAGGAACGCCGAGAGAGCGACGGAAACAATCTGCTGAGTGGCTTTGACAAGAATCTCCTGGCTGAAGTTTTTGAGATTGACACGAGGCTAGCAAGGAAGCTTCAGAATGAAAGGGACAACAGGGGAGCCATTGTAAGAGTGGAGCATGAAATCCAAACCCCAGAAACAGCCGAGGAAGAACAGAGGCAACAAGGAAGCGAAGAGGAGGAGGAGGCGAAGGAAGAAGAAGAGAGATCCGAAGAAGAAAGAGAAGAAAGAAGGCCAAGAAGGAGCAGAGGAGAAAGAGAGTCACGAAACGGTTTAGAAGAAACATTCTGCACAATGAGACTAAAACACAGGACCGATTCTTCATTTGCTGATATTTTCAACCCACGAGGTGGTCGCATCACCACCGTTAACGGCTTCAACCTTCCCATCCTCCAATGGCTCCAACTCAGCGCTGAGAGAGGAGTGCTTTACAATGTACTTTGCACACATTTAACTTACGATGAATTTGAGTGACCCCATAGAAGGCGAAGCACATGATAATGAGGTTTGTTTAATCATTTTTGCAGAATGCTCTCTATGCGCCTCACTGGAACATCAATGCCCACAGCATAGTTTACATCACCAGAGGCAATGGAAGGATCCAAATCGTTTCGGAAAATGGAGAGGCGATATTCGATGACCAGGTCCAGGAAGGTCAGGTGATAACCATTCCACAGAATCATGCAGTGCTGAAGAAAGCAGGCAGGCAAGGGTTTGAGTGGATAGCATTCAAGACAAACGCCAATGCCCAGATTAGCCAGCTTGCCGGTCGTGTCTCGGTCATGCGAGGGTTACCGGTGGACGTGTTGGCCAACTCGTTTGGTATATCTCGGGAGGAGGCCTCCAGGTTGAAGCAGAATAGGCAGGAGGTGTCGGTGTTTAGCCCAAGAAGAGGACCACAGCAGTGAAGGAACAAGCTAAGCTCACTGCAATTTCAACAAAAATAAAACCTGGAATCAACAAACTATGTACCAGAAAGAAGAGAAAAAAAAAGAATAAAAGAGAGGACTTAGCAGGAATGGGAGTGTAGTTTCTCTATCTTGCATGTATTTTATATATGTGCAGGAAAATGCAAATTTTGTAACCGAGCTAAGTTAAGTAATAATAAAAATAAGGTTTTAGTTTGTATATCAATAGTTGATCAATACTCAATTTACTTAATTCTAGGCATCAGAAACAAACCCAGTTTTGATACTATCAACCAAGATAAGTTCTATATACATTTTCGTCAAAAGACTATCATCACACTTTGACCCCAGAAATGCGAAAGTAATACCTAAAAAACATTAAGAATCCCCTGCAGGGAATACACATTGGTTATTCCCAAAGTACCTTGAAAATAACTTTCAAGGCCCATTAATTTTAAGAAAGTGATGTGTTCAAACTACAGATTTTGACATATTTATAAAAACACAAAAGTTCTATCACATGACCATCGATTCAAACACCTTTTCCCAACGAAGCATAGAGAAACCTCCACACGAGAAGTGCACCAGTCCGAAGATAGCTCTGTCCGATTTAATTTTTCCATATTAAAATACCTTTGAAGCATTAAGAATCTTCAGTAGGGAATGAGCACGAGCCTAGATGTAACTTCTTCTGATTTAGTTTTCTCAAATTAAGATATCTAAACGAAACATTAAGAACAATCTTTGAGGTATACAACTTCGTTTAATTTAAAATTTGTTCTCCTAATTATGATATAAGTCGAGATAATGGTGATTAAATAGTGGGCTTACACGTGTCTAAATGATAGACTCTCTATAACACGATTACCGTGGAGATATCTCCGCCCATTAGCCAGCATAAACGCTTTAAGAAGGAGAATATATTTCAACTAATAAAACATACAAACAACATATATAAATAATAAGCTGACTGCTCAAAAGAAAAGACGGGAAAAATAATCTTCCTGATACAAACAACATATATAAATAATAATATTCGTTAATTTATTTTATAATTTTTATTAATTACCTTCTTTTAAGCACAAACTCGACGACATAATGTAAACGAAGGGTCAATCTACAAAATACAACTCAAATGATTTTGGGATTAGATTTTATCATATCTCAGTTGAAAATTTAACGTCCAGGTTAGACAATCGTAATTTTTTAACAAAAAAAATGATGAGTTTGGAACATATGAATGGTCATGTGACCATTTTGAAACTTTTAATAGTTGAGTAACTAAATAGAATAATTCACTATAATCGAGAAACCATTTATGTATTTTATGACCTGATCAGAACGATACCCGACTTGAAGTCTATCCGAACCTAAATTAACCTGATATTTAATTGATTTGAATGCATACTATTTTAACATGAACTGATCTAAAATAAAATTAACTAGAGTAAATTTAGGAGTTTGAAGATTTAGGTCGGTTTCATTTTTGGATTTGATGGATAGGCCTAAACATAATTTAGTACTTACAATAACAATCATGCCTCTTTTTATAACAATTATATCACTCAATTATAACTAAAAAGTTGATGCTTGTCGCTCAATAACATACGGATCTATTTGTTGCAATCAATAAAGATAGTGATCTATTTATAATATTTTAAAATATAATGTTCCATTTATAATCTTTCTAATAACTGGGTGACTTGTATAATTTAACAAAAAAAAACTCCTTTTTGAATGATGTTATCAAGGAAAAATAAAATAGAATAAAAAATTTAGAGAAATCAGATCGAAAGAAGAAGGCCGCGTTACTCACCGGCGAGAGAGAGTGATCGAAAAGCCATAAGAAAAGTAGAGAACAAGGGGAGCTTCCGCTATCTCAATCCAAAACCAAGTCAAAATTCTTAACCTGCTGCAGGTATTTCTTGAACTTGGCTTTACTCCTCTTATGCTCTGATCAACCTGTCTTTGCTTACCTCGAAATCTTTGATAAAATTATGCAAAATGAAACCTCATTTTTGTGTGGTTTTTCTTGCTTATTTTCAATTCCCATTCCCATGTTTGTTTTTCTGTTTTCGGCACCAAACGCTTTTTGGGTTCTTTCTAATGTATGTGGGACGTAGTCTTTTTTGTTCTGGGAAGAACCCAGGATTGGGGAACGAACATTGCAGCTTTATTATGTTTCTATTTGGACCTATTGATTAATGTCTCAAACTCAAATATCTTTGTTTGGCGATCATTCTGTATTTGCACGACTAATTCCATTTCCTCAATGAACTTTGGGTAATGGGATTTGTGAAGGTTGATGTTTACCTGTTTGATTGCGACATTGTTTTTTGATGTTCATTCAATACATGTTGCTTAATTTGTTCTCTAATCGTTTCCTATACATATTTGAACATGATTCTGGTGATATAGCCCTCCAAGAGTGTTCCAAATATATGGCCAAACATTGAAATAAATAAAGATGACCTAGTAGTAGTTGGACAAATGCTGTATCTGATATACTTGCGCCCAAGTTTGAGTGGCACAACATTGAATTACTAAATTAAGTGTCATTATCAAACAAAAGTTTTATTTATAATAGGACAAACTCAAGTTAGATCCATTTAATCATTAGTGTACATCTGTGCCGTCTTTTGCTCAGCAAGTTTCAAACCCTGATGCAGTTAATGAATGGTCTTATAGTGTTCGGTCTTCGAATGCTTAGTGACCGGAGAGAACAATACAATGTCCATAGAAATTCTGTAAACCAGGCATTTCTGAATAGAGACTGCTAGCAAAAGTTAATTGAATTGTTTTCTGTAGTCCGATTTTAACTTCTTCCTTTTTGTCAATTTAATGTTATTTTCTTGTAAAATTTTACTTGCTCAAATAATTTCCCATTTCTGATGGTGAAGCCAGAGACGGGTATTGCCTCCCTTTGAGACCAACCAATAATGGATAGTAGCTATAAAATGCAGTGCTGGTTGTCAACCTAAAAATTGGAGGAACAATTACCATTTATGATGAACATTATTTCTTCATTTTGGTTGAACTACATCAATTGCACTTTGATATTGAGTTAACTGCAATTTACAATAAGCCGTTAGGGAATCAGTTGGTGCTTTTGATCTGAAAAATATGAGACTTACGCTATAATATATATAAGAGTGGGTGCATGAAAATAGAAAATAAACTTTGGTCTATTTTCCTGTATTTCTTGCCTCTTATTGGATTATAGTTTGTCATGGCCAAATCTGGTTCTTTGAACTAGGAAATATGTACAAACATGTCAAACTAAAATTTCAGATTAGAGACGATTTGGAAATGTGATCCATTGGTTAACTTGACTGTACGGGACTCATTGTTTCAAATCATCAGGTTAACAGGCTGGATATGTTGCTGATGTACACTGATGATTGATGAATAAATTGTTCATTGATTGTTTCTCTGATAATTAGTTTTTTATATCAATTATTTGAAATTTGGTTACAAAGCAGGGCATAGATATGGGAAAGAGTAAAACAGAAGTGAATTTTCAAAGGTTGCTTGCAGCTGCACCCCAACAAAAAAATCATTCTAAACTCGTACATGTATGTCTTCTCATGTTTCAACTCTATCGTTAATTATATAGCATTTGATGCCAATTTTGCTTCCATGTCTTTCATTGCTCTCTGACTGGTTTTCTTCCCCGGAGTTATTTTTTCAATATCCCTTCTATCTATATATATAGTTTTTTCCTTTTGAATCCAGGAATGATGTAAAGAATTCAACTCTTTTTTTCATTTGCAGTATGTTGCTACTTTGAGAGAACTTTTAGAACAGTTAGCTGAAGAGAGAACGCCAGAAGGTTTACCTAGGTTGATTCTTTCTTCTCTTTTATGCTTTACTTTGATTCAGTTGCTACTTGGATGTAACTTTTAATTTGTTACAGAACACAATGATATAAACAAAAAGATTTTTTTGGCTAATTGATTCCTCTTTACTTCTCTCACACAACAGATTTAATTGTTTTCTTTCCATGACAGCTTAAAGCTTGTTAACTTTTCAATTTTAATTTGTTTTCTTCCTAGACTTTCAAGTGCTGTGGTCAATGATTATTCGAAAAAGATCGAGGATATTGCTTCAGAATTAAGTACCCCACTGGTGTGTTTCTATGTTCTTTAAGGTTTATCTTATCATGATTTAAGAAATACCTGGATTTGTAAGAAGGAAATAAAAAAAATAATAGCATGGGGCTTTCAATTATATAGGCAGTAAAGCTTTTCCTTCCATGGTCATGTCAGTTTGTATAACTTATGCTTGTCTTCGTGTGCGTGGGTGTTTCATGTGCGTCCTCTGACTCGTGATTCTTATTCATAGAGGATGTAATTGTCAATCATTATTTTATATGGTTAATTTGTAGCCTGAAATTAAGGTATCCGAGGAGCCTGTCACTGGAAGTTCTTTTAAGCAGAGTCCTAAATCAGATACAGAAAGCCACATGCCTTCCTCTCCAGGATTAAGAAGGAGAGTTGTGTAAGTGAATCTTTAGTACTGAGGATAACTGTAGTTCATATTAGCTCTTGAATTTTATCATAAATATGGTTGTGATTGCTTTGATCCGTTGATCAGGCCTATCTCAAACATCAAAGAGAGAACTCATGACACCACCGAGGCTGATACATCCGCCCCTATCAAACTTGATGCTGCAGCAGAAGCGCACATACAGAAGCACAAGTATCATTTTTTATTGCTATTACATAATTGATACTTAAGAGTTAAAATTATGCTTTGTCCTTGACACAAGATCCCCTCTGCTGGAAACCTGAATGATGATAAGCTTGAAATTGAATACATCCCATGTTAATTTGGGTTTGTTTTGCTGTTTATGGCTGTTAATTTATATTCTCCTCCAAAACAGAAAGCTTCAAGAGGATTTAACCGATGAGATGGTTGGACTGGCACAGCAACTTAAAGAGCGTAGTCTCATTATGAGCAGGTCCTTGGAGAACACTGAAAAGGTGAAGTTCACTTGTATATTTTTAATTTTTATTCCATGATTTCCAATTGATTTTGTACTCTTGATAAGGCATACCATTTGTCAAATTTTATGATGAGCTTAGAGTCAAATTTCTCCTCAGAAGGTGTTATGAGGGTCCTCTTTACTGGATTCATGTCTGGATTTGGTCACATTGTATTGATTTCTAATGGGTGGGATTATCTTGATTCAGATTTATAACAAAATAGGTCTTTCTAAGGAATAACTAGCATGGTGACTAGGTATAAAAGGTATGGCTTGACATAGTGATGCGATGTTTTTCGTATTTAACTCCTCCATTGGAACTTTGTATCTAAGCATCTATAGACTATTTGATCAAGTCTCGAGTTCTAAACCCGAGGTTGTTTTTCTGATGCACTGCCTGGCATATATATGTATTTTACGAGTTAGAAAGATAGAATCATCTTGCTTTTAATGTTTGTTTACCACTGTGTCTTGTATTATAGACTAATTATGGTGTAGTGCAGATACTCGATTCCACCGAAACAGCTATTGAGCAGAGTCTTGCTACGACTGGACATACTAATGTCCGTGCAATGAAGATATATTCTGAAACCTCTAAGACTACATGTTTCCAATGGCTGCTGATGTTAGCCATGACATGTGTTTTCATCATGGTTGTACTTCTGATTCGTGTAACATAAAATAGTTCTTGAAAATGATAACCCACCACAGAAAAACCATGAGGTAAATGCTTTTCATGTTCTAACAAATGTGTTGCATGTAGGTTTTACTGGCTATATATATTTGTAGAATTGAGGATGAGTACTGGCGATTATAACGTTTTGTAGTCTGTTGATGATGATAATTAACATTCAATTCTTTTCCGATATCACTGTACTCGATAACGCCATCGGCAATCATAAGTGACCAGTAAATTAACTTTCATTTGTCTTTTCAGTGCATGTGGGAGTGAGTTCTGCATAAATGTGAATCGCCTTGAAAATGCAGTATCCCGTGTCACTCAGACTCAATTCGGGCTTATAATAATTTGCTAACCTCCTAATGAAACAATGCGGTAAAATACACACATGGTAATTGCTTATTTTGTTTTAGGGTGAAGTATAATCGTTTTAGGTTTTAAAGATATAATAGGCCGTTCACAGAAGATAATTTGTTTATTTTGTATTAGAAATACCAATATTATATATAAATATATGTAACAACCGATAAAAGTTGTCCTCAAATACTTGAAATACCTTAATCTGAAATTTAGAGTTACCAATTGATTGCCACCTAAGCCCAAATGTTATATTTGATCATTAGGATGTTTATATGGGTTAAACTATGGCATTTTCTATTGCCATTGTTATATTTAAGATTTAATCTTAATCTTTTATTTTGATGTAATTTGATGTTTTATTCTTATAATTAAACACCATTAATTCTTTCAGCCAAGATGATTTCCTAAATAGACTTCCCTTCATGATGAGTAAAGTACACAAGAGGTTGTTAAAAAAAGTACACAAGAGGTCATTAAATTATGCTCAGATAATTATTTTGATCACTAAACTTTTAAAATTTATAAAATAATCATTAAATTTATTGAATGATTACAAAATACTTATTAAATTTATCGATTTTTTAAACTTATTTTAACATCGCAATAATCATTTTGTAATTTTTAAAAATTTAGCGACTTAAATAATTATTTGAATATAGTTTAATGATCTTTGATAATATATATATATTATGCATACATTTATACTATCATCTCTTACATTATATATACATACGAGGTTCATACATAGCAAGATTTATATCAAAACAAATTTAAAGAAACGAAGACACGATGTATGTCTGAGGACTCATATTTTTTTTATATCTTTTTGTAGAGTATCAATATCCAAATAAAAGATATCGATACTATACCTTATCAAGCTTGCCAAAAAAGTTTTAGTAATTATATTTGGTATCTATACTTAAACATGGATATCGATATCTATATCAAATATCAGTACGAGAGTATTGATACTTGAATGATTTAATGAATTTTCTAAAAACATCAACCCTTGAAAGATATCAATATGTGGAGAGGGATTAAGGGTATCAATACTCAAGCTAATATCAATATGTATGAATGAGTATTAGTACTTATTTTTATTTTCCAAGCATCGAGCCTTCAATGGATATCAATATAATATAGATTAGTACATATACCCAACTCTGAGTTTAGATACTATAGTTACAAGTATCTATACTCATACATGTAATTGCCTAATTTGCTGTATAGTTTTTCCCTGACTTTATAAAATCACTTTTCTGCCCATGTAAAGATGAATTGGTTGCATATACCTTGTGTGTGTTGTAATATTTTTATGACTACGAATACTTGGAATGCCAATATGTTGTGTAAAGAAGTATATTTGATTAATAGGGACTAGAAATTAGATATTCATATCGATATATCATGTTCATGTCATTTTATCATATCATACCACGTTTTCATTAATTTTTTCGTATCACATTTGTATTCTATAATCGTATCCTAATCTAAAATCATTATGCTTGAAGCATAATAATCTACGTTTAACATAGTTTAATGCTTCACTAGTACTTATAAATTAGATATATGGGGAGCACGACAAGGACTCATTTTAGCAAAATCACCAGGCACAACAAAGTTAATCATGAAAATGGATGAAAAATAGACGGTCGATATCCTTAGCGATGAGAAAACGGAAGAACACCCAAGCGACGTATTGATAGACGATTGCAAGGAACTTCTAAGAGAAGGATGAGTTTATGAAGTTAGACATAGCTGACGTGAAGGAAAGAATTACCCAGATAGATTGGCAAATATGGCTATTGACCAAGCGGAGGACTTCACCTTTTTATCGATCCCGCCAGAGGCGTTAATACCGCTTACAAGGGCCGACGCTAGAGGAGATGGCACGTTGAGATTGTAGAGTACTGCTAATTCCTGCTATTGACCAAATAATATATTGGGTCACCTCCTTAATGTCTATTTGCCCAAAAAGACAAGGGCAAGAAGTACTTTACGCCTTATATTCATGTCTTTACTCATCAAATTTCCTGGGAAAGGCTACACCCAATTGGAATTTCGACTCAACATTAAGTGACTATTACTTACCATTTACGATTTCAATTAATGAAAGCTGATAATATAATAAATTATATCATGTCACTTCATTTATAACACCCCAAACATGGTCACTATATAATGGACCTTATATAATGGACCTAAAGTGTCACTTCGAGTCGTCGAAATAACTGTTAAATTCAAAATCTTTTTTTTTTAAATGTAAACTCGATACCTATCATAAAATATCAGAAGTATTATGAAATGTTTATACAAATTAGAGCCATGTGATAATTTGATATAGATAAAAACAACATAATAACAATAGATTTTACATACTATACACAAATTAAGATTCTATGAATATATATACCCACTAAAGAAATTGATTTGTACTTTGGAATAAAGATACTAAATATTTTGTAGTGACGATATTCTTCGAACAAATTCAAACTACTGACATATAAACCAAAATATATGAACACTGAGTTAACAAAGTTCAGTGGTATACGTCTACTTCATTATACTACTTGTAGTTCATAAACATAAACATACTCGATAGTATAGGCAAATAAGCATAACTCTAAACATGTAATGTCATCCAAGGTAACATGCTACTCAACACCAACTATTATTCACGTAATAGAATTCTTACATACTGGTATAACCTAGCCCCAGTTATAAAATCAATATACATAATGACCACAATAGCACATAATGAACACATATGAACAATAATATTAACACCCGGTATTACATAGTAGTTAAGTAGTCAAAATAAAGTATCTTAATATTACATAACTTCAGTAATGATTCACACTAGTAAATTCTGGCTGGTTGATCTCCCATAGTATCGGACATGATGGAAGGAAATATAATCAAATCAAATTCAGATTTATAAAATAATGATAATTCAAATAATAAATATCTAAATATTATTATTTACATCAAACTATAAATTCACCTGTGTATAGAAGTTGAAATACCAAAAATTATAATATCTAAATCCAAAATAATAGCATTAGAATTTGTACTATATATTCTCGGGAGAGTCCAAAATACAACTTGTTAATATAAGACTAAAAAATGACACAATCGATTATAACAAAAATATTATAAAAACATATTTTTTAGGTTGGAAATAGTAACAGTTTAGGTTGAAAACTAAAATGTTATATTCTTCATAAATGCTTCGATTACAACAAAAAAAGTTATAAATTGTGTTACTTTTTCGATTATAAATCTTAAACCCACCGCAATATAATTTTTTTAATTACAAATAAAAATATTATAAATTGTATAACTTTTAAAATTAGATATGATAATATTTTAAATTAAAAATTACCTCAAATTAATCTCACTCGAATTTCCGAAAACTAATTTGGTATGCTAAGTAGATGAATGTTTATAATTAATTTGTATGGCTCCCCACATCAACTGTTAGGCATTTTACAAGACACTGTTACTTTATAGACTTATGCTTTCAGGTTGATGCAAATTGAATGTTATTGCCCAATTGGAGTCAGTGAAGGGCATTGTAGTCATTTACAAAAGGTGCTGTCAATCAGTGGAAACCAAGAAGAAGAAAAAGGCGAAGAAACAAAATCATGTTATTCCCTCATGTTTTTAACCCTTTACCTTTATAATGTCTCCATCTATCATCTTTCTCTCTATATATTTTTAGATCTTATTATATATCATGTTGATATGTTTTTTTAATGGAAAATTCTAAGGGACAACAATTTAACTTAAAATTAAGGATCGATATGGATGGACACAATCGAAAATATTATAAAAATATAATATTTTCGATTGATTGCATCCTAAAATATTAATTTTTTTAACATTACAATCAATCGAATTAGATTGTCGTAGAATAAAATTATCTATTTTTTTCATGAACATAAATTATTGAACATATTAGATTTTATATATGTTGATAATATCATGGTTACCTCACAAAACCGGGCTAGCAATGAACCGACTGAAAACCGGTAAAATCGGGGTGAACCGGCTGAAAACCGACAAAACCAATTTGAACAACCGATTCACTTTTTTTCTTTTAAAAAAAAAATTAAACCAAACGACGTCGTTTGTTCAACGAGCCAAGTCAAATTCGAGTATTGTTGAGCTCGACTCGAACTCGAAAACTTTAAAAGTAAGCTCAACTCGACTCAAAAACTCACGAGCTAAAAATTATCAAGTTCAACTCGAACTCGAAATATAATATTAAAACTTGAACTTGAAAAGGCTCGAACTCAAAAAAAATTAGAAGTTCGATTGAAGCCTAAAATTTGAGCTCAATTGAAGCAAAAGAATAATTCGCTCTGTGCTCACCAAAAGGCTCCATAATTTTGAATGTCAATTTACCTCTATTATTTATAGAAGTAAGTTGGGATGCTCTTCTATGTTTCTTAGCATGTGGGATTGTTTTGTTCTAATATTTTTACTCTTTAAATTTTTGGGATGCTCTTCTATGTTTCTTAGCCATGTGAGATTGTTTTTAAAAAAAAAATTAAACCAAATGACATCATTTGTTATGATTTTTTTAAGCCCCAATTTTATTTTTTTATTATAATTATATAAATATATTTATTATTTAATATGTTTTACCTTAAATATTATGTTGTAGTTTATTTAAATCATTTTGTTTCACTTGATTTTATGGTTTTTAATTTATATATGTTATGACTTGTGATATTTTTATACCTTTTAATATTGTAAACTTAAAAAAAGTGTTACATATATATTAATATTGCTTTGAATATTATGTAAAATTTTAAAAAATATTATTTTATATAAAATCCGGTTGAACCAGTGAACCAGTACCTTCACCGGTTCAATGTCCGGTCTAGTTTTAAAAACATTGGATAATATTGAAGCCACTAATTTTATTAAAAATAAAAAAATCCAAATTATGATAAAAATTTACAATCACAAATGTAAACTAAAACATATAATAAGAACATTTTCTTATAATCATTAACACAAGAAACCAGTCACTTAAGATCACACAATGACCATACAAGGAAGAGGTTAAAACCCTAACTAAATAAACTCGAATAAAAAGTAGATACAAACATATCTGACAGCATCAACAAATTAACCACAAAAAATGATTAAACTATTGAAAAAACATTGACAAATTCCAAATTAAAATCAAGCGACGTGAGAACTATTCACAAACATAAATTACGTATCCAAATTCAATATGATGGTCCAAAGCAGATAAGATCAATATGATAGCAAATGAACGACATCTTAATCAGTCATGGCGATGTCAACTCTAGTCCTTAGAAAAATCATAAACGAAAATTATGATCAAACGACCGAAAAAGTGTTAAAAGACAGATAAAACATGCCATAAAATAGAAAAAAAAGTATCATAAAGATAGAGTTATTAAAAAATTTAAAAATGAAAAATATACGACATAAAAAAATGAATATCAATAGTCAGCGATCAACACTAAAATTGATGTCACCATCAATTAAAAAGATAAAAGAAAAAAAGACTAACGATGTCACAAGAAAAAAAGATAAACTAGGGTTAAAGACCCAAGAGATTCGAATTTTCCCAATATTACAAAAAAAAGTTAAAAATATATATATATAATGACAACCTGAAACCAACTACCTTTTTATCGAATATTATGAAAAACAATATAAAAAATAACACTCATTTGAGATTTTTTTATCGGATTGACACCATTTTGTGTCGCGTAGGTGAAATGTGTGCTACGTAAAAAGCACTTATCAGAAAGTATTTTTGTAGGAAGCATCTTTTGATGACGTGGTAGAAGTCAATCAGAACTTCTAAAGATTGGGCAAAATGAAATAAAGAAAAAAAAAGGGTTAAAATATACAAAGAAAAAATATACGATTTTTTCCAGAAATAATAAATGTGCACAATGTGTATCTTCAACAAGTATTTACATGAGCAAGAGTCGGATCGAGTGACGATAATGACACTTGTGTATTAGTCTTGCCTTCAAACACTCAATTAATGCATGTTTAAAATGTTATATTTAAACACTTGGAAAAAAAATTTATATCCAAACGATGTGAAATTTGATAAACTCGTAGTTAAACATGTTAACTTTGAATTGTCCAAGACAAATCATGAACTTATCAAATCAAGTTTTAAATTTTATCAATTGTTGTCTTAAATACTTAGGACCCAAGTATTAAAATTGTATTTTACTGTCATATTAACATGAGTTTAATTAAATTTAGGACTTATATTTGACAGCTAAAAAGTTAGCATGTTTAACCACAAGCTTCTCAAATCTAACATTGTATAGATATAATTTTTTTCAAGTGTTCAAATATATCCTTTTAAATATGTATTAATTAAGTGATTGAAGATAAAAATGATATAGGTGTGTCACCATTAGTGCCGGCTCATATTTGTGTTCGTGCAAATATGTGTCCAGACACAAACTATGCACGGTTATTCTTTTTGGACAAAATCCATATAATACTTTTATATTTTTAACTAACATTTTTCTTTATTTTTATTTTAACTCGATCTATGTTCATATTATTGTCACGTAAGTAAAAGATGCTTTATGTAAAACGTTTTTAAAGATACATTCCACGCAACGCATATTTACTATGCATAACAACAAAAATCAGTTTAAAGAATAATTTAATATATATTATCTTTCAGAGTAATATTTGAATAAAAAATCCGAAACCCTAATCACATATTTATTATTATAGTGCGAGATTGACTATTCTTGTTTGTAGCTTGAATAACATATACTAGTAATATTTCTCCTTTTATGCAAGTGTTTAAACCTTTTAACCTTTCCACAATAAGACAAAAGTTATTTAGAGTTACTCATTTACCATTGCCAGTCTCAGTCTGAGCCCGTGATGGAACTGAGAGTTCACTTGCCCCATTTTTTTCTGCGAAATAAACTTACAGTTAAACATGACAAAACACTGCCCTAGCTTTAAAATGTTTTTTTTTTTTTTAAACAGCAAAACAATGTTGGGAAGAGGGAAAGCCCGCCATATTAGTACACATCATAAGCCTTTCAAGTTTTCTAGGATTGATCAAACAGATAAAAAGGAAAGGGACTGTCCAGGCCCCAGTTGGTGCTTAATTTCCCCTATATGCCTGACCAAACTATTCTTTTCTCCTCTCTGTTACTGTTTAGGTTTAATTTTGCTTTCAATCCCTCTACTCTTTCAACTTTTAAAAGTTATTTCCTTTGCTTTTAAATTTGAGTTTAATCATTGTGTTTAAATTTGATCGGATAATGGTTTACAAAGAATGGGCTTGTATGAGGTGTTGAAGAAATTATTCTTTCAACTGAGATATGTAGAAAGACGGTCAGACCACCTGACGTCTTTGAGAAGTTGTCTGAAAGACACAACATCTTCCCTAAGCTGCATGTAGTCTGAGCACCAACCTTAGCAGAGTACCAACCTAGAAAATGTTGTCACTCAAGTGTCTTTTCAAAGACATCAAGTGGTTCGATCGTTTTTTCTTAGGCACTATTCATTATATCGTAGTTGAGAAAATAATTTACCTTGTACTCCTTATGAGCCATTCTTTTTTCTCGTTGTATTATCTAAGGAATTTTTTTCTTGTATTTCTATTATTTAAAAATTAAATTCCAATACTATAAAAAAAATAATTTCTAATGCATAATATTATTAATTGATCTTATTGTATTTAATTTTTGTTGAAGTTGAACTCATTATGTGATCTTAGTAATAAAAGAGAATGTTGTTCTCCTTAGAAGATTTAGGTTTGAGCAGTTGCATTTTTAGATCATGTACATTGTCAATATGTTAAGAAAGATTATGAACAAATACTACTTTATAATCATCTCAAACTATTTAAAAAAATAATTGTTTGAAGTTAAATTTATAAAAAATAGTCTAAATTTTAAAAGTTCAAAGAACATAGCAAGATTAAAATTTCAAAGATATGAACAAGTATAAGGACCGGGAGAACAATTAATCCTAGCATTTATTATCCTCGTCAATCTTCTTCTTCAAACTCCTATATCAACAAAACCCATCTCTTAATGTCTCACCTTCAACTTCAAGTCATTCTCTGCTGAAAAATCACCACTTGTTTTCAAAGACTTTTTTTTATCTGTTTTCTTTCATTTCTATTGAAAACTTTGTGTTTGAATCTACTCTCTCTTTTGTTTTTCAGGTTTATCTAAATTCTGAAAACCATTTTCTGCTTTTCATATATCTTACATGGATTCTCTTCAGAATTTCGAAACCTCAAATTTCCCCGCAAGTCTTTCCATGTCCACCATCAACAACGCCGATACCAACAACACAAACCCCTCGCCGGCGGCGGCCGCCATCGTCTCCTTCTCATCCTCTCCCTCTTCTTCGTCCACTTCTCCTTCCACCCTCAGCCGCTACGAGAACCAAAAACGCCGTGACTGGGACACTTTCGGGCAATATCTCCGTAACCACCGCCCTCCTCTCTCCCTCTCACGCTGCAGCGGCGCCCACGTTCTGGAATTCCTCCGCTACCTTGACCAGTTCGGGAAAACCAAAATCCACACTCCACTCTGCCCTTTCTTTGGTCACCCTAACCCTCCAGCTCCATGCCCTTGCCCCCTCCGCCAAGCTTGGGGAAGCCTCGATGCTCTCATCGGACGCCTCAGAGCCGCCTTTGAGGAACACGGCGGCAGGCCTGAAGCAAACCCTTTTGGAGCTAGAGCTGTTAGGCTCTACCTACATGAGGTTCGTGATTCGCAGTCCAAAGCAAGAGGCATAAGTTACGAGAAGAAGAAAAGAAAGCGACCACCGCAAGTGCCTCAGCCACCTCCCTCTTCCACCTCTTAAATGGAAATCAAAACCAGTAAGTTCAAAATAAGTACGAAAACTGAAAACAGATGTGATCAGATCATCATCCAGCTGCATGGGGTTTTTTCTTCTTCCAATATTATTCTATCTTAATTACTTTAATATGCAATATGGGATCTTATTGTCTTAAAAACTATTGCTCTCTCCATTAATGGATATTACCCTACAAATTAAGATCTACGTGACTTAACATCTCAAATTGTCATTGATAAGTACATTTGATAAGCCATTTATGACAACTTAAGATTTTCAGATCAAAGTTGTCTTTTCTTGTAGCTTGCCCCTCCAAGATCATCCATGGGGAAACTGGCAAATCAATCTGCAGGCACCAAAAAGGGTGTGCAAAGAATCATGTGTCAGTTGTTTCAAAAGAAGCATTTCTGTTTTAGTATCATTTATGTTCTTTACTTCTTTCCTTCATTAGCTAATGTAACTGTAGTTTACATCTTTTAAAAATCTGGGAATGAGAAGATTTCATGTTTTCGACAGCTAAAATCCCATTAGTCTAACTGCAAGATTGATGCATGCAGGAAGTAGGTTGAGTAGTCTAAAGCTGTTTGCCTGATTCACATATATTGGCCAAATCCATCTCCCATTTCTCCAATCTGCCTCATCTGTTCCCCCAAGGGAAGATATTTATTTTTTATTTATTTTATTTATCAAGTGTAAATCCATTGTCACATGAACCCTAATAAATAGTGAAACTTGTTGCTTGACTTCTTTATTAAACCCAAACTTGATTAAATCATATTAACCCTAATCGTATTTTAGGTTGCATTGGGTTTATCATTATTACGGTAATAACATGTATTATTGCTGTCATCGTGAATATCGGAGTGATATAATAATGATTTCAGACTATATTATTATCGTTATATAATCGTTATTTCGATAATAAATTCCTATTTAAATCCATGCTAACTATTCTTCCATGGACTAATACAATTTGTCTATTTGGAAACGTGCTTGCTTTTGTTGTTAAGTTTCATGAATCCTTGATTGCCATTTTTCCCCTCTCTTTGTTGATTCTTCACTGGTGTTTGGCTTCCATGATAAATTCAGAAAAATTCTCGGCATTCAATTGTTGTCTATATTAATGATTATCTATTTTACGAGTGATTGCAAGATAATATATATGTGAAATTTTTTTAACCATTTAATAATAAACATTTTAATCTCTACGGACATCGTGATCAAATTCAAAGATATCAATGGATAATAATCCATCCTTTAACTTTTTAAGTTTTCTTGTATAAATATAAGTCGACTATTAAATTAGGAAAAAATAGATTATTTCATGATATATGCCAAAGGATTTTATATTATTTACTGACGGTTGGATTTACTATACCTATCAATATTACTAAGCTGAAACTTTATAAGAGACTATTTTTTTACTAGACCTGGACATCATTATATGATATATTTAAGATTCTGTTGGGACCAAATCTGACTGCATTTTGTATTTTGTGATGCATATTTATATAACATGTATAATAGTTAGGATAGAATATTGAGAGAAATTAATTATTTAAAATTAAAAAAATAATAACGACCATTAAATATTTAATTTTAAAAATTAATAATAAAACAAATTTTCATAAACGATGGCTGTTGTTTGTTCCTGAAATTAAATTTAGATGATTAAATCAATTTTTAAATATAAATAATTAAATGTATTGATTTATTTAGAATTGTAGTTAAATAACGAAGATAAATTTTATTATTATATAAATTTAAAAAACTGCTATGTCATTAATTTTATTAATCAATTAATGATCGATAATTTAATTAATTAAATTATGTAAAGCTTGTATTTTTAATGAATAATATTTATTTAATAATTAAAATATAATCGATATCATAATTTAGTGATTAAATAAATTGTTTTGTTTTCCGATGTTTATACTTGTGGAGCTGAATTTGGTTCTCTAACATGTAATTATGTAAACTACATTTATTTTAAAAATTTTGACGCTTTAACAAATTGAGTGTTTATTTATTTAGTTATTCTATTTTATTTTAGTTTCTTTATTTTGATAAGGTGAAGCAATATTTATTATGTTTAGGAAGAGTCCAAAATATAATTTGTCAATATAATGTTAAAAATGATATAATTTGACTATAACCGAAAATTTTATTAAGATTCTAATTATTTTAGGTTAGATAGGGTAATATAGATTGAAACCGAAAATATTACTTTTCTTTCACAATGATTTTAGTTGTAATCAAAATTATTTCAAAATATATAATTTTTTTAGGTAGTAAACTCTAAACCCTCGTAATGTAATTTTTTCGATCGTAACCGAAAATGTTACAAATTGTATAATTTTTTTAATTGAACAAAATAATATTTTAATATAAAAATAATATTAAGGTCAGTAGGTCACAAGGAGAGATGATCATGAGCACTGCTAAGCAATTACTTTTTGCAGTGGTACCCAATCGAGTGATGGGGAGCAATCAGTTTCGATAATATAATAAAAAGGGAAAGGTAAAGAAGTTGAAGGTATTTCATCTAAGGCACCAGAACTTCAATATTATGACAAGGTAACAATTGAGTCATACCAAAGCAGAATTATACACATAGTGATGCCTCAACATCAAAGCATAGCGCTACTATAAAAAAATCAAAGTTATTCATGTCAGATAGACCACCTCCATCATTTCCACAAAGGTTTGCTAAACAGAGGCAAGATCAATAGTTTAATAAGTTCTTAGATGTTTTAAAGAAATTGCAAACTAACATACCTTTGGTTGAAGCATTATAACAGATGTTGAATTACACAAAGTTCATGAAGGATATCTTATTAAAAAGAACGAGGTTGAGCGAATTTGAGAATGTCGCATTGACTGAAGGATGCACAAGAATGATGCAAAATAAATTACCCCATAAGTTGAAAGATCCGAGGAGCTTTACCATGGTTTGCATAATTGGGAATCAACAAGTGGAGAAGGCTTTTTTTTTTAAGGACGGGTATAAATTTGATGTCAATCAAGGTATTTAGACAACTTGGCATTGGAGAAGCACGATCGAACACTACCACACTTCATTTGCCCAACTGATCATTTGTTTACCCTAAAGGTAAAATTGAAAATGTGTTGGTAGAGGTAGAAAATTTCCTTTTCCCTACAACCTTTAGCATTCTTGACTACGAAGTAGATAAGGAAGTTTCCATTATTTTGGGCAGACATTTCCTTTCAACATGGAGAACATTAATAGATGTTCATGAAGGGGAATTAATCATGCATGTTAATGATCAACATGTCACTTCTAATGTTTTCAAAGCATTGTACAACTTATATGATAGTGAAGAATGTAACATGTCGGAATCAATTCTGAAAACGTCAATAGCGGAGTATTGCTACTGAACTGAGAGTTGCCAAAGCAATACAGACATGCTTGCTGCTCATGGAAGCTCTGAAGAAGTTTTGTCTTTATCAGGATCTGTTGCACAATAAGCATGGCCAAAGCAACAACCAAATCATTGGAGCTATCTGAATGACTTTACATACCATTAAAGCCATCTCTGGAAGAACTACCACATTTAGAGCTTAAACCGCTACCAAATCATTTGAAGTATGCTTATTTAAGAGTTGGAGACACATTGTTTGTTATCATTTTTGCAAACTTATGTGCACAATAAGAGTAGAAATTGCTGGAGGTCTTAAAGCAATGTAGGGAGGCTATTGGGTGTACGATTGTCGATATCAAAGGAATTAACCTTGCATTTTACAAGCATAAAATCTTGTTTGAATTTTATTACAGTAATTTAATAGAGAAACATCGTCGTTTGAATCCTGTAATGAAGGAATTTGTTAAGAAAGAAGTCATTAAATGACTTGATGCTAGAATGATTTACCCAATTTCCAATAGTTAGTGTGTGAGACCAATTCATTCCATGCCTAAAAAGGGAGGGATTCCGTGATTAAAAATTAACCCAATGAACTATTCTCTACTCAAACAAGAAAAGATCATTTCCTTCTTCCTGTTATTGATCAAATGTTGGATCGATTAATTGGGAATGAGTACTATGTTTTTTGGATGTGTATTCGGTTATAATTAAATTGTCATAGATCCAAAAACCTAACGAAAAATTACTTTCACATGTCTTTATAGTTCATTTGTCCCTTGTTGGATACCTTTTGAAATGTGTAATGCTCAACAACGTTCCAACAATACACGATGGTCATTGTTCATGACATTATTGAGGTAATATTGGAGGTTTTATAAATGAAATTTTATTTAATCTTGAAAAAATATTGTAGTGTTGTGAAGAAATTATTCTTTTTCTTAATTGGGAGAAGTGTTATTTTACGGTACAAGAATGAATTGTGTTATGACACAAAGTTTTTTCCAAAGACATTAAATTCAATCGTGTCAAGGTTGAGGTATTTAAAAGTTCCCCCATGAATCAATGTAAAAGGCACTGGAAATTTCCTTAGACACGCATTGTTATTTCAGTGGGTTTATCAATCAAGACTAAAATACATTACTTATTTGATCGTACATTTGTATTATTTAAAAAGTATTTTTTTTAAATAATTTGAGATGATTATAAGTTAGTTTATATTTATAATTTTTTTAATTATTGATAATGTATACATAACTTACAGATATAATTGTTCGAACTCAAAATATCTAAAATATTAATACTCTTCTTAATTACTTAAACTACTTGATGAGTATATTTAATTTTTTTAATAAAATTATTTAAAAAGATTAAATAAAAAATTATCGCAAATAACCATGTCATTTTATTTTATTAGGTTAGTTTCCACGAACAGTCGAACTGTCGAAGCCGAGTTTTATGATTTCCAAACACGACAGCCGACACCCGTAACCATATTTTATTTTCATTTTCAAGGAGGAAAAAAAATTCATTTTTGCATCAACTTCTAATCCAATCTTGAAACGATAAATCTAGATTCTTCAAGCAACGATAACGTAACTCTCCCTCTCAGTTCATACATGCCTACAGCATCTATTAATCCTTCCCCTCCTCCCTTAAAATAGCAAACCACGAAAAAACAGCAGGAAAAAAAGATTCTTTGAGATCTAAATTCCCTCTCCCCTCTTTTCCTTGCTCTGCTTCTGGCTCTACATTTAGGGGTATAACCAACAGTATCTTTTTCTTAGATCTCATTTAGAATTGCTCGTTTCGTTTCA